TTTAAATTTTAATTGCTATCCACTAATTTTAAATTATTAAATAAAAATTTTTACTAAATATTTTATTTGTAATTGTTTCAAAATATATAAATTTATTGAACACATATCCTTAACTGTTTAAATAAAACTGATAACCATTATATCAAATGAGATTTCTATAAAAAGAAGTTTTATTAACATTTATCTTTTTATTTATAATCTTATTTATAAAATAATTGAGTTATTTTTATTCATACCAATAAATCATTAACTATAAAACTGGTGATTGTGAAAAAGAATTACACATCCAAAGTTATTTAAAATTACCTTCCAATGTGAACATTTAATGGTTTTTTTTTTTACAAAATCTCAAATTTAGACAGAAAGAATTTCATTTCTAATCTATAGTTTACCAAAATCTCTAAGGAGATCGCATCATCTTTTCTTACTGGCTTTTTGTGTTTCTCTTTTGGACTTTTCCTCCTTTGTTTTGCTAGAAAAAGTTTGCATCTTTTTCATTTTCTCATGCTTTTTTTTTCATTATTTTCTAAAAAAGGGTTTATTCATAATTCTAATGCTTCAAATCATATCAATCAAAGTTTTTTTTTTTTTTTTGAAAGATTTTATACTTCATTCCATCAATCAATTAGTTTTTTCAATCATTCAACTTTATAAATCAAGAATTTCAATAATTGAATCCTAAATGTATTTATAATCAATTCATCATGAAAGAAAGGGAAGGCCAAGCAGGACAAAATGATAGTAATAACAAGCATCCTCACTTCACATGAAGATTGATTTCCCCAGCCCTAACACCTTAATAAAAATCATAATAACTAATTATGATTGTAAATTAACATTTTGATAATAATTTGGTTGGTTTGGATAAGTCAAGGAATAAGCATTTATTAATGAATGTAAAGATAGAACCTCTCTAAGAACTAGGCTTATTGAAGTTCAAGAACTCAAAAAGTTATCCCTGCAGCTATGCCAAAAGGTAAAATTTTCAATATGGATTGCTACCAAACAATAATTTATACTATTCAATTTATCACTACTTAACATTAAGAAAGAAAAACTTTCAATTCTAGAAGTATTTCATTAAAAAAATTTAAGTTTCTTTAATTTATGCCTTGTTAATTAATTTTTTTTTATCATTAATTGATATTAAAAATGATAAATTTTAACATAATTTTTAACACTAATATCACGTAAATTATTTTAATTTGATAATTAATTAAATAAAATTTAATTTTTATTTTTTAATAACAATTAAAATACAAGTTGGAATAACCCAAAAAATTTTCTCATGCTTTGACAAAGCACTACGAGGTGTCAAGCTGTCATTTTAAGGAATTTTTCTTTCTTAAAAAAAAAAAAGGAGTAATTAAGAGTTATAAACATTAGGGAGCTTACATTTCCTTAGCTATCTCCTTTATGGAGTATCTTTTTAGTCTATGAAATTCTTTCTTCGAAAAAAGAATGTTTAGAATGGTGAAAAAAAATATGTAGTTTGTAGTCTAAAAAAAATAAAAAATAGTGAATGATTTAAATAACTCAGTATTTATTGTTTTTTATTATAAATAAAAAATTTTGAGTTTGAGTTTACGATATACATGTGACATGAGACAAAATGAGATAAAAGATGGGAGATGAATGTATTTTATTGTGTAATTAAAAATATAAAAAAAAAACTTATTTTAAAAAAGAAAACAGAAATAAATAAGAAAACAACTATCATAGCCGTTGCTCGGTGGCCAAAAAAAATAGCCGTTGCCCATTGGGCATTATTTTTCTCTGCACTTCCGTTTCCATTTTCGTCGAAATTTTGCGTCAAACCCTAATTTCAGTTCCTCAATCCCTATCCCTAACCCAAATCCTATAAAAAAACTCTTTTCTTTCAATCCTTAACAGTGGAGGACGAGAAGAGAAAATAAGTGGTTTGCGTGACGGTGCATCATGAGGCTATATTGCTTCTGAAACTTCTTCTGACTGAGGTCTTCATTGTCCATGGAACCGTCAGAGAATCAGGTTATCACTTGGAACTGATTAATTCCTGTTTTTTTAACTAAATCCTTTAAGACCCAGTTCTGAATTTGTTTAATTCCTCTTTTCTATTAATTTGGACTTTAAATCTGTTCGAAAGTTTGATTTTTGTTTGATTGCATTCCACTTTGTGGCCATAAGCCGCGTAACGATTATCTCTTTTTCGAATTCTAAGGAGTATTCTTGAGTTAAACCTTAAAATTCCAATCTTACGAAATAATTTTTGTATTTAATGTCCTAAGGAAAAATTTAGTAGCGTGATTTTCCTTCATATTGCATCATTCTCTACTATATTGTTGTTTCATCCATTGTCATCCCAGTAGCAATCCTGTTTTTCCCAAATTCAATCTATGGTTTCAAGTGTCTGGCTTGAGTTGTTTTCCATCTTAGGTTTTGTTGTCTCATGAAATGTCAGCATGTAGAAAGGAAACGAATAATGAGCACAAAATCAAAATTTTAATGGTAGTGCAGAATTTCGGCTTGAAATTATGTGATTTCTTTTCATATTAGCTTGGGCTTATCACTAGTGCATGACAGCTAAGCTTGAAACTATATATGTATGTTATTATATTATTTATCTGTATTTCATCTGTGAATTGGATGTCTTCATTTCATGGTCGTGGTTTTAGTTATCTGAGTAGATATTGTTTTTTTCATGATTCAGTACTTGGATCAACTTCAAGGTTTTTCATTGAATTCCTTTGAGAAATTTCCCCCATCTTAATGGGATTCATATGATTATCTTCGTTCCTAGGATCTGTTTAGTTACTGTTTATTAAGCTTGCTCGTGTTTGTTGCTATTGTTCAAAGTTTAGAAGGAAGCCTTCTTCTGTGCTATTTGATAACCTTTAGTTTTCCATTTTCTTTATACTTTTCATTTAAAAGGAAAATGCATCTTGATTTTTGGCTGGGACTGTCAAATTTTCAGTTTGCAATTCCTAATAGAGAAACATTCTTGCATGTTTACTAATTGAATAACATGAAATTGTATTTTACTTATTAGATGAAATTGCATCTTTGCTCAGCTTCTTTTTTTTTCTGGTCATCCACTGTTTATGGTTGATATAAGGGTAAGCATTAACTCACCTTATGCTTGATTGGTCCTCTATTCTTTATTCCAATTCACAGTGCAGGGAAGCTTCACTATCTTTATGCCATTGGCATTATTGTTTGGAATTTTTTGTAATTGGTAGTTTAAAATTTTTGTCCTGTACTTCTTTAATTTACAAATATGCATCTGCTGAAACCTGTGTGACAGAATCCTTCAATTCCATGCACTGCTCCTTGATGAAAGTTTTTTTAATATTGTGTCACTGTATTTAATTTATTGTAATTTTAAATTAAGGGTTTTCTCGTAAAATCTTATTGCAAGTAACCAATTAAGGGTTTTTTTTTCAAGATATAGATAATCCTAGATTGTGAAAAGCAACTTTTGATCCATTTATTTTTGATTTAGCTATATGTATTTGCTGTGCTAAAGATTGTGAATTTCACTGCTTATGTTGTTATTATTGTGTTTCCATCAACCTAATTCTAAATTGAGAACACTGAGCAAGAGTTCATAAATTATGATGGCGCTGGTTTAATTGCAGTGAAATATTTTCTTATAAATAAGAAGAAGCCTATGAGAGCCAGTATTTCAATTCAACAAAACTAGCCAAAATCAACTTGTTTGACATTTTCCCTCAGTCTAGAGCTAGTAGCCCATTTATCTAATTTGTATGCATATGATACTATGAAGTAGTCGAAAGATAATCTCAGTACTTACTTAAGATTTCCCCTTTTTTTTTTTTTTTCAAAAAGCATTGAAACATGCAACTGATGCCATTGTGGAAAATTTCTCAGAAAATAACTTAAGACCAATAAAATCATGTTCAAAATTATTTGCACGGTCATGTCTGATTAAGAGAGAGGAGTTAGAGATTTTATATTATTCAAATAAAACTCTTTTTGTTTCCAAACGAGGTGTTACCTGTGATAGAATCTTATTGAGTCCACACAGTCTTCGTTTACCAGAAAGGGCAATAAGCATGTACTAGGAGCTGTAAAAAAATAAAGGAGTGAAAAAGAGTTGCAAATTGAAAACATAAGCACGTGAAAGATTGGAGAGAAGTTGAGGCTTAAACACATGCATAAAAGGGTGTGAAACACATGCATAAAAGGGTGTGTGTGTCTTTGTAGTGTGAGGAGGAGAGAACATAATGTGGAATATGTGCATGGCCCTGGAAAAAGAGTGTGAAGTGGAGAGGGTTTATCTCATTTTGGCCTTTTGGGCATAAAATTTCATGTGGTTTATCTAAAATTTGTCAAGGTTTAAATGAAAAGGTTATATCTTAACACTTCTTTTGTTTCTTTTATCTTTTGCCTATCTCTAAGATTGAAATAATGGAATTATTGTTAGAAGTTTTTGATGTTGTAAAATTATTGCTTGATTACATCATGCATGTGATTTGTTCAGTAATAGATACTTGACTTTTTAATTCTCCAACTATGCTTTTGCATATGCATGTTAAATGTCAATTTCTTTATGCATTATGATGTGTATATGGTGCTCAAAATGATGTCATGCCACAAGTGCTTCCATAGGGTCAACTTTTTACATATGGTTTATTGTAGGCATGTTTAGAATAAGTTTATTTGGGGTAAAAGCTAGTGTCAAGTTGGGTAAGTATAAGTTGTAGTGAGATGAGCTAGATTCCAGTGAATATGACGACTTTGGATGGTGTTTATGTGGATCATTTGAGGATGAAGGCAGTATTCAATCAAAGAGAACGAGAAGAATGCTATTCTTTTTGGCCATATAGAAGAGTGCTATTTGAATTCAAAGTTAAAAGTTTGCTAAGCATTAGAGTATACTTGGTAAGAGATACTTATGATTTTACCTTCACTCTCCTTATACATAGTATTTAAAATTTCAATAGACAGATAAGCTTAAGGAGAGGTTTTAGATGCTGAAAAGGTTGTTGACCATAACTCTCTATTTAATATATCCAAATTGGCAGAGGAGGATTTGATGCAAAATAGGAAACTGGTGTTGTAGTTGTTCTATTGGCTAAAGATTGCTGAGTGAAGTCATATTTTGGGAGAAATGTTAATGCTATTAGGGTTAGCATAGTTTGGTTAAATCATGTCTTTGTCTTTGAAGCACTAACATATAGACTGAAACTTACAAAATTAAATAGGATGTTCTATGGTTCTGCCTTAATTTGAGTCCTATTTACTCAATCTGAGACTGCAAACAGTAGCTCATCCCCAACCTAGAAACCACTCTGTTCAGATAAGGATCAGTGAAAAGTGACCCTGTTTTTTGTCCATGATTAGTTAACCCAGCCCATAAAACACTGTTCATAAAAGGAACAATAAAAAGGTCCAGGTTTAGTTTTGTAATAGTTCACTGGTATTTTTGCCATCATTGATGGGGGGACTAAAGCTAATTTAGAAAGAGTATAAGTGTTTGATGTTTGAGGAAGCCAAGGCTGTGCATATGAAAGACTCCTAGGATAAACTTAGTCACCTTCATTACATTTCAGTAATAGAACTTTGTGGTATTGGATGTTGATGCAGTAGTTTTTAAGTGGTTCTAACTTTCATTACATTCACTAATCCTTCTAGGCTTAGTTTTACTGTCAGGCTTTGGTAATATCATCCCCTAGTTTGATGGAAAATAAAATTTGGACCATAAAGGATATCTCATGAATCATATGATTATCTTGGGTTTTAGGGAAGTTTGTGTGTTTAGTTGAAGTTGCTAAAGAGTAAGTTTTCTAGGTCTATGTATACCTTTCAAACCTTAGAAGGTAAGTTGAGAGACTGTATGTCTTTAATCCGTGGGCTATTTTGGATATCTCATATGCTAATCTACTCTTTAGTATAGCTTTTCAGCCTTTAACATAAAGTTGGGACATGTAAATGGCAGCCTAGAGGAGATTTATTTTAAGAGCTTGTGTCTTGGATTTTATAGGGAGTTTCGAGGTTCTTTGCCACTCACAATCTAGTATCATTATGGCTCCTACAGGATCTTTGTTGTGTTTGAGTGAAGTTGTTCTGAGGAGGAGGCTGTTGGATTCCAAACGAGAAAATTTGATCATTGGAGTGATAACTTGGTGGTTATGTTGCCACAGTGTTTCTAAAACCATCTATCTACTTATGAAAAGGAATTACTTGTCTTAATTAGGATAATGGTTACCTGTGTATTTTCTTGTCTCCTTTTCTTTGGCAGTCGGGTTCAAGGGTAGGTCATGGAAGCACTTTTTCAGCATTTTGAGCATTATATATGTATTTCAACGCATAAAGAAATTTTCATTTGATATGTACATGCAAAAGTAATGTTGGAGTGATAAAACTCAAATTTCAATTACTAAGCTAACACATCCATGGTTTAATTTAGCAAAAAAATTTGCAGTATCAAAAGTTGATAACAACCATTTCATTATTTTGAAAGCATATTGCAAAGGGTAAAAGAAGAGAAGAGAGTTGAGAAATAACTTTTCTTTTTAAAAACCTCCACAAATTTTATGGCTAAACCACAATGAAATCTTATGTTCAACAAGTTGAAACGAGAGAATTCCTTTCCTCTTTAATATTCCTTCTCCATTTACAATGTCTCCCTCTTCTAACACTTCAAGACATTGCCTGCCATTTTTTCATGTGGAAAGAACCTTGACTCTTTGGACAACTCTTCATAAGCTTTTGTTAAAATTTGCCTCTCTTTTTCATCTTTTATTTTTTTCCATCTCCAACCTCATGCTATTCTGTTCTTTTTGGACAAACAAAGAAAAACTGGACCTAGTTTGATTCTCTCATATGTAAACCAATTATGGGAACCAAAAGGGCTTATATTTTGAATCTCATAAAACCTCACAGGTTTCTCTCTTGAATTGACATGCATACACAAAGCAAATAATTTCGAACGTTAGTTTAATGCATATGATATAATAGTTTGATTTCCGTTTTTATTTTGTCATGTTCTTTCTCTTTATCCTTCCATCTGTTATATGTTTCAGGGAATGGGGATTCTTGCAAGCTAATCGAGATTATTGATTTCAGGGAGAATTTAATCCGTCTGTTCCTTGTTAACAATCTTTGTAATTCTTTTGTAAGATTTAGAAAGTGTATATTTCTTTGGTTAAGTTGTTTACTTCAAACAAGAAGGTTTTCTGTACAATTATAATCCCATTCAAGAGCTTCAAAATTGTCAAATCTTATTCATCCTGCCATCATCTTTGGTTTAAACCAAACACAATCCGTAAAGCAATGTAATTTACAAAAAGAAGAATATCATCATGAAACAAACAAACCAATTAACTTAAGCCCAGCCTAAAAGGACTTCTGAGTAATGCTTCTAAATGATATACAGCCTCTCTTTGTATTCTACAAGCCGCCCACAAAAGAGCTTATTTATTCTATGACTATTGTATATCAAAAACCCCAAAGGGAAAAGGAGTATAGTTGAAAAAGAGTTGATGCTTGAAGCTGGTGCTTCTGTATGTGTGATGAAGAACTCAATTTTTGAAGGCTTCAAATTCCAAATGAGATAGGAATCGATAGTGCTCTTACAACAATATAATTATTAACAGCTTCACTATGGCCGCAAACTCCATCCACGCTCAGCAAGTGCTTCATGCACCCGCCTAGTTGCTTCTGCAGTATCATTGAGGGGAGGATAACTCCAACTTACTGAAATCTGGAAAACAGAAGGAGTGATGTAATTAATCCAAAAGAACTTCATTAAAACACCACCAGTCTCTGTTATATGCCAATGTGCCCCTTTAACCAGATTCTACCAAAAAGGCCATTCATTACTGAAGATGAAGTACAATGCAAAGAAATCTACCACCCAAAAAAGGAAATGGGCAAAATCAGAGGTGTTTCGATACTTTAGTTCAATTTTTATAGGAATTTTTAGAGCTCCTATGTATTCTTTATTAAGTTTAAGATGAGTCTCTCTCCTGATGTATCTCCTCTTTTGCTGTCTTTCTCAATAATAATTCAACAGCAAAAATGGCAATAAAAAAAAAAATTCAATCACAATAAAGTAATATATATATATATAAAATAAACATTCAGGCAAGGAAAATAGCAGCATGCAATTGGCTTTTCTTACATCTTCAGAACCAGTAAATGGGCGAACTAATCCTCGCTCCCTCAAAGATTTGTGGAAGTCCATCAACTTCCATTTACAACACTCAGCACCTGTAACGTAAACAGGTTTCCTGCATGCAAACAACAGTAGATTAGAACTTAAAATCTTATAATTGACTAGAAAGTACATTAAAAAAAAAAAAAATTCTTCCACATGATCTAAATCATCAATGCTGGACGAAAAAGTTCTTTTCATTCATACCCTGTGCTGCAAACCTCACTTACTAAACTAACCGAATCTGCTGTGACAACAAAAGCATCAGCCCAAGCTAAATGCGCCATGTGTGGATTTGGTCCTGAAGATCATGAAAGTAAGCATACATAAAAGTTGTTCTGAGTATTACTTCTACATTTAATTATATCAACTGAAGATACCTTCACCATCCCAGATGTAAACTTTTGGATTATTTTCAAGCCCTTTGACAATGATTTTTGATATCTGTTGGTAGAAACAAGGGTAAAAACTACTGAATATTGATTGTTGGAAAAACAAGAGAGAGAATACCTGATGAGGAAATTTGAATTTTTAGTCAAACCTTTTCAGGTGTCCTGCTTGAGAATGATATTCTGACACTCCCACAGGTTGCAAGGACACTGAGAAGAGAAGCTGTTAACTGCTTTGCAAGATCTGCGCCATAATGGCAATGACCTACAAACAATCTCAGGAGCAGAAGATAGTAAGAACACACAACTTTCATGGAAGCCTAGTACATAAATTCTAGTATCTTCCTATCCATGTATAGGAATTATATACATATACATATACATGTACATACATACATTTATATTATACTATAGTGTAGTTAGATCTGAAACTGGCTAACAGTAAAAGAAGCAGAAGGTAAGTATGAATATACAAGCAGACACTAATATCCAGAGCAAATCTTCTGCGTTATATGAAACATTTTAGGATCATAAAGCATCATCAAAACTTACTGGTAGGCCAGCCGATGTTAACCACAAGTAAGGGCTTTGGAAGAGGTGCAAACTCATCATGCCAGGCACTTGCTGCACTTCGGAGTACAGAAGCATCAATTTGATGCAGAGCACCCAAAGTAAGGACCTAACGTTCAGAGAAAACCAGCAAAGCAACCTTCAGTGATAGGCAAAAAATGATATTTAACCAATCCAGAGTCTCAAATCAGGCAAATGAGAGTAGGGGGTACACTTTAACACATACCACATTCGGACCAGGGGGTTCACGAGGAGTTATCCACCTGTGAAGAAACCGAGGAGTCTGCTCCCGTGCTTGTGCAGACAAAGGATAAAAGTCATGCTGAGGGGTGATCACCAAATCAAACCTATTCAACTCTGACCTTGGATGTTGGATCTGCAACATAAAAGAGGAAAAAAGATCAGAACATTAAATAGGGCATGGAATTATGTCCTAATGCCAGACAGATTTGCCAAAACAATTAAACCATGAACATAGAGCTACAGAAGAAAGGCCATCTTTGTCATGGTAAAGGTAAATTTTTCTACACTTTAAAAATCACTAAAAACAATAAGGTGCACCTTTTACGATGATAAAATCAGCAGACAACTATTTTTCAATGATGACATCTATAATTTCTAAACAGTCAGAAGTTGAGTTTAGAAAAGAAGATGAAGTCTTAAGAAAATGTCGTCCAAAAGACAGCATTATCTCTCTAAAAGGAGCAGAGTTATAACCTGGACAACGAAAACATTCTCAGAAGCTAAACGTTTTATAGAGCTTGAAATAGAAATGGTATCTCTGCCAGATGCAACCACCAACAAAGGACCCTCCCTGAAAATTTTACAAACCATTTAATTAAGTAGCTAAAAAGAATCCAAAAAAAGGTACCAGGGGTAACAATTTCCCAATTCAAACATATATTAAAATTAATTTATCAAGAAAATGTCAGTATGGCAATGAATTATAGTAATAGCATGATTCAGATACTCTCTTTAAAAATCATATGAGAACAAAAAGCTTTAGGTTGTGATTATGCCATTTAACAACAATACAACAACAGATGGCACCATGAGTCATGACTATAACTTTATTGCATCCTGAACCTAGATGCAAAAGATATTGTCAGGATTTCCCCCTTCTCTTGGCTTAAATCGCTAATTCAAGCAGCCTTTGCGTTCAAAATAGATGGTGTCATTAAATGCATTGCTGGTACAAACTGAACTTGTAGAGAAATTTTCAAATCAATACTAAAATTATGTGACGCCTTCCATTTTCATAATCATCTTTATACCAGAAGAATGCTTATCACTTTCTTTTGACTATAATAATTACCTGTTCATTTACCTATCCCAAAACAGACACCTTCTCTTCACTATAGTATAGAATTATGGTAGAGAAGTCTGCTAAGTAAAGCTAATGAGATAAACACCTGCAATATCTATATGTAAAAGCTTTACAAAAATGCAAGAGCAAGACATAAAGAAACAATTGGAAACAATCAAGGCAAAGTAACAAATAACTTCCATCAGGAAAAATTGTGACAAGAAAAAGTACTTTTCAAAATTTTCACGGGCCATGGTTACAATCTGCTTCAAATCAGCTTCTAAAATAGATGCTAAGCCTGCACTGCTGCTAATTTCGGAAGGTAAAGGCAAAACTTTCTTTCCTCGTGAAGTTAACACTATTCTTGAGTAGTTTCGAATCAGGCACATGAGATAATCTAACTTTTTGTGAAGAGAAACTGGAAGCCAGTGGAGCCACTCATTTATTCCTCCTCTAGGCCTTGTAATTCGCTGCATATGATTAGATTATCAAACATAAT